CTATTTTTAAAACACTGCATATTCGTAATGATTTAGAATAAAAAACATGCATTTATTTCCACTGTCTTTTATTATTCAATATTAGTAAGAGATGCGTCAACTGGAGGGTTACATTTCCAAGCATTGCAAAGAGAACCAACAGGAAGATAAATAAAATTGGGCCTGTAGCAGCATCCTCGCAGTAAAAACACAGAATGCAGCATGTTATGAATCATTTGACATAAATTAAAACATGCCGTTATTCACAAACAAACAATATAGACTTCTCTTCAAACAAATCCAATGTTGTAGGCAATGAGCATTCAGTGCCAGCTCAGGAATATGTGTTGGAACTATACAGTGATGGCTATGTCAAGGTGTGTAAGTGTGTTTGTCACCATTACACAGTGTGTACATAAGGCACTAATAAATATGTTCCGTAGATCTCAAGAACCCGCCTTCAACACAGCACTTTTTCGCGTCCTCAGCAACACACCCACCAAGTGTGAGGTCAATCGGATAAGCGGTTGTTGAGAAAATTGCGGGATAGACAGACAAAGACTCCTTCCATGTTAGTCGGATGCTTGTTTTATGGAATAAATACTGTGTGGTTTAAAAAGAGTTTGTTAAATAGCACTAAATGATCAACGTTTTTTAGCAGTTGGTAAACATTGAAAAAGTCTCAGTGCTTACCACAAAAACCCTTCAGATCATTTATGCTGCACTGTAGAGCATAATATCTGACTGCAGTCGCTGGCCCACTGTTAGTGCACTTTGATTGGCTGTATCTTTATGCAGTCATGGAGAAGAACATGTAGGACCGTGACTGTTTCTTCCTTTCTATTACATAAAAAATGTCATTGCTTTTGTTTTGGATTCATTGCAACCTTTATCTTACAATAACAGGTCGACAAGTAGTCAAGTGCCTCCCATTTGCAATAGAGGTACATTTCAAAGTAAAATGAATCCTATATTTAGCGTAAACGATTGGACTTTTGAAGCTATTTATTGAAAGCAGTTAAATAGTAGTGGCTGGGAAGGAGCACTGTCCTCAGTATTCCTCTCAGATAAACGATCTCTCAAGCGTCATCTGAATCTGTGATCCCCAGCCAGTAGATTCCTTGAAAGTTACCAAGGGAATCGGCAATCTGGATTGCCTTTGTGCAGCTGGGAGAGCGAGAGACGTGAAAATGATTTCAAAGACGAGGATGAATCATGCTCAAACTGCAGCTGCCATTTATTAGCACAATTTACTCCATGGTTGTCGTTTTTTTCACAGCTACCTAAGAGTCTGAGTTTGGGAATGTTTGCTGGAAGCTATAGCATTGCGAGGGTTTTATTCTGTAAAAAGCTTCATTAAAAGTGTTGATAAATGAACCTAACAGCAACTTCTATGTTTGTCATAATTAGTCATGACACTACGACTTAATAATACCTTAGAGCAAGGCACACATAATTTATGAGCTATTACCTCCATAATGAAGATGACGATACATGTTTGAGTAAAGTGTGAAATGCATTCAGTTGGATGTCAGAATAAGTGCAAGAATCTGCCTCCTCTTGAAGAAAGGCTTCTCTCGGTGTGTTAGTTTGGATCTACTGCAGGGTTCACACTGATCTATTCAGGGTCAGCCCAACACGTTACATCAACACATACTGTACAAACACATTATCACCATTACGCTCAAGATACACTAATTGCTTTCCTTTTTTTTTTTTACTTACTATTTCTGATGGGAATATTTAAAGAACACAGCATTTCAACAGGATCCTGTTTGACAGGTGCTTGTTCAAAAGGGCCCGAGTTGTGCTTGCTGTGTGCTGCAGATTTTTTTTACCATTTCTTGCCTGTCACGGTGATGAAACGGGAACCCATAAGAAATTGACAGCCTGTATTGCTCAAGGTCAAACATATCTGAGGCTGGCTTGTTCCTTGATGTGGCCAACAGGGCTAAAAGAGTGGAGGTAATCCTTTAAGACTTAAGAAGGTTTTTTTTTTGCAGATTTCTGAGAGGTTATCAGTACAGTCTGTTTGTCTGTAAACCTTGCACCTGGTGAAGAAAAGTAGAGCTTTTTTTTGGAGAGTGACAGGTTAGGAATTTAGCACTTTTTAGTCTGTTTGAATGAAATAGAGAACATGCTGCTTTTTACAGGTCAAATCATTATTTGGGTACTGGGATATATTGTTTATTTTCGCCATCTGTGAGATTGGGCTCAGAGATTTTTTTAGTCAGTTGAAAGAGAATATCTGTAGAAAACTACTCTTTAAAAAGTATCAATCTTTTTTTTATTGATGTCTTTTGTGTTCAGTTCAATGTTCAATGTCTTCAATAAAGACATTTCTTTCCTTTCATTTCTTTTAATTCGACAAGCAACAGAATATACTAAACGTAGCAGAACTGAGCACACTTAAATATCTGTTTATATATCGTTGTGAACATATTCAACAACCTTACAGCACATCACATATTTTCCTCATACCGTGCAGCCCTAGCACCGGTATACCACAGGGGATTTCAAAGATCAGCCATTCCAGAAATCCTTTGCACATTTAAAGACTGCCATGATTTGTTTAATTTAAGACCACTCCATGTCAGCCTCCCTCTCTCTGAGTCTGATAAAAAAAGAGAGCCAATACAAAAAAGGTGCTGCTGTAATGTACCTTGGGAGCTTTGTTCCTCATGAAGGAGATATATGGACACGTCATACATCATCATCGATTCCAAAAAGTGCTATGTCACAGGTACCACGGTGACCTTGTGTAGTTCACATCCTGCGCCTCCACTCTGTCAACAACATATGACAAATGGAAATGATTGCCGTATTTGAACAGCTTTTTACACAGAAAAGACTATTCAGTAATAGTGCATCAGCAAAAGCCTTCTTCACTGATTCTTTGAAATAATATAAGATGACAGGTCAAAAAAATATTTTTTGAAACGTTTTATCATTGATAAGATTACTTGTGACGCAGGAACTAAAAGGGTGCCTGACCTTGGCTTTTCTCATGTAAATATAAATATAGTTAGGCTTACAGCATAAAATCAATGCCCTCTTTTGTCACAAAATCTCTTTCTCATGTGCGTGAACCTAAACCAAATATCAAGCGTGCTATTTCTCACTTATGGTCACTGCTGCTGTCTGAATAATAGATACGAGGGACTATAAACGCCATGATAATTATTGCCACGGACATGCGTACCACAGGGGGACGTTGTGTTCTATATTCTATTATTAAAGTTGCATCTCGGAATAGATAACCTTTTGAACATTACACTCGGGGAATATGTGGAATTAATAATACAAGATGTAATCTGTGTCTTTTAAAGCCTAGGAAGTGAGAGTGTCAGCTCGGGTTCAAAACCTACTTTTATATGTATCACACTCTTAAGACTGATGTATAAAGAACAGATCCAAAGAAATTATTCTAACTAGCATTCAAAAAGCAAGACATTCAACGGATGCAGAACGTAAACTTAAAAATGTCCTTCTACATAGATATTTAAAAAAGAAAGAGACCCCAATGCATCCGAAGATATAATAGGAGCCACTACAAGTGGTTTAAATGATAGCTTCCAAAGTTTTGACTCTGACAGATGAGAGTCTTGGTTGGTCCCAAGAACACCACATATCTCTTTTTGTGTTCCCTCTGATCTCTCATCATCTCTTGGGCCTTACATGAAGAGCCCTCGGATTTATCGATCAATGGCCGTAAACAAAACATAGATTGAACTGGACAGTTGAGCAACACAAACGGATTACTGCCTTTTTATTCCTCCACACGCAATTGGTCACTAGAGCCTCGGCTAAAAAAAGAAAGGCCATTGGGCGGCAGGACTGCGGCGCACGGAGCAGATTGGGCAACAAAGATGTGGCAGACTCAGGAATAGAATGACAATGAGAAGAATGTGGCGTGTGAGTGCGCATGTGTGTGCATTTAAACGGTGTGTCTGTGTGGGCAATATAAATGGATGAAAGCAGAATCCCATGTGTAATCCAATTGTATTGGCAAGGTATTGAGCGTAATACCAGTCAATCCATTTGTCAATGCTTGGTTACATGATGGAGTGCAAGAGCTTCTGAGTGATCATTTCCATGTTATTGTATACGTGTGTGTGTGTGTGTGTGTACATGCCAACAACACATGTGTACAGTTGAATGAATATCTGCATACAGATGGAGGTTGCACATGCTAGCTCACCATATTTATACATCACTGACAGCTATGCATATTTCACAGGGTGGAGAACCCTGCATTGCAGTGTTTATACATGGCAGTCATGCTCTTTATGTGAGAGCGACTCAGGGTTAGACTAGAAGAGGAGAATTAAAGCTACATCACCGAGCCCATCTCTCTCTGTTCTGCCTTGGTGTAGTGTTGTATATTGCCGTTTCACTTCCCTACAGCTGTAATGTATTCCTGGGTTTTCCACCTGTGTTTACTAAAGCTGAAGAACAGGAAATTCGCTGAGGAATTGTGGTGAAACAGTTTCATTTGAAACAAACGGCAAAACAGACACCAAGAGTGCAGTGCATGTATTTAATAAAAGCAACAAATACGCCTAAAGCAGTACAATACTGACAACAATAATAACACTAAAGCATGTTATTCCAGTCAATAATGTGCGTTACACCCTTACTTTCTTTGTTGCATCAGGGCAAAGTCAGAAACCTTCATAACAAAAATGCTAATTCTGTAGTCAGCAATGAATAAAGTAATTTCCTTGGGCTATCTTGCATTTGGCCCAATGATAAATGAATCAACATTAAATAAAGTATTTTCTTCCAGCCTGAGCAGAGTGGTCATTTCAGTACAAAAACCTAAGAAAACCAAACTTTTAGAACCATAACGGCATGCCATGTACCGAGGCACATCAAAGGAATTATAGAAATGAGAAATATTCCTGTGTAAATCAGCAATGACTTAAATTGAAAGAATGAGAGAAATTACCTTTTTTTTTTACTTTCTATCCAATAGTAACTAAACCTGTCCTCTCTGTCTCTGTCTTTTCTGTCTACAGCAGTGGCCCCCACACTTCCCAGTCTACGTTCAGAGGTGTTCAAGCCATGTGTGGAAGACAAGGACCTGGCCTTTTGCCTAAACGAGGGAGAGTGCTCCATCATTGAAACTGTGGCTGGGGTTCACAGACACTGCAGGTGAGTGTGTGTGTGTGTGTGTGTGTGTGTGTGTGTGTGTGTGTGTGTGTGAGGCATTTGGTTTCTCTTTCAGCATTGACGTTTCCTCTCTTTGCCCTTCCCTTTCAATCACTAACCTTGGGGTCATTTTCATTCAAACTGCTCTTTTCATTCAAGTTCCTGACTGACTGTTGTTAGAGTGATGAAACACAAGAACATGGTTGTGCAAAATGCATCTCAAAATCACCAAATATCTAGAAGAACCCAAACCACTAATTGAGGGATAAGACATGCTTTGGTAGGGCTTGGTATCGGTACTTGAAATAACCCAGTACCAAGTAGTACCAAAACTTCTCTTGTCAAACAATACCTGCATTGGATGGTTTTTGTACCCAGATCGAGAAAAAAAGTACTACTTGTATGGTTTTGCTTGCAGCCAATCACAGCAAGCGTCCTCTGATTTCATGTGACATGTGATTGGCCCACTACGGCAGCAGCTACAACCCATACAGTTTATAGTGTGGTGAGGTAGAAGCGCATGTAGTTGGTCGGAGAAGGCAGTTCAGCGTGAACGTTTGAAAGTATGGCTATATTACACGCCTGTGGTGTCTGACAAAAATAAATCATGATTTTTTTTTAGCGACACCCAGCCCTGCAGTAGATGCAGCTGATTCTCCCAATCCACAAGATCAAATTACACAAATTGGAAAGAACTCTTTCCATGCAGATCCAAGTAGGAAGCCCACGGGGGGCAAATTTGATCTGACTGTCTTTAATTTGGTCCGACAAAACTTTTAATAGTGATAGTAGTCTTTTTCTCTCTGGTATCAATGCATTTTAATGGAAGGTGTTAATGGAAGATCTCTTGCGAGATCTTTCTTTGATCTTACTTAAAAGCAACAGAATTCTTTCTTATTTTTGGCAATTTTCTTTCCTGTTATTTTTTCCCTCTAGTTTCACTCAGGCAGTCACTAACAGCCGGAACCCAATAAATACAGTAGAGGTAACTTCTCTAAATAAAGCCTTAACCGCAGGGAGGCTGGAAGTCAGTTAGAGGTGGGGGTCTAGAGAGAAAGTCCGTCTTTAAAACGACGTCATGCTAAATGATGCTTGACATTCATGTTCATTGCATTCATTTGAATGGCCAGGATCATTTATATTAAATAGTTATTAACAACATTTTACAAACATTTCCAGGTCTCCCCTGGGTTGTTAGAGGGCTTGGGTATTGTGCAGTCGTTGGGGCCTAGGAACACACAGTATTGTATGTCAAAGCAGCCACTGCTATACACAGTCAACAACACGGAGCACTGGCTGAAGCTAATGAGAGGAGGGAGTGAGGCAGTGTATGGGTGACGCATAACCAGGTAACTATAGTTTATGATAATGAAATACAGTGATAATACTACCATTTCATACAGAGGACGAGTCTGTACCGATGCACATTCACCCTGCAGAGGTTCATATGAAATATACTGTATATATATATATTTATATAATATATACAGTATATGTTTTTTTTATTGCCATGGTAGTAAAACAATAGGCCTACAGAAAAATACAGGGGATGCTGCAACAACCGTGCTGATGCTTAGCTGACTTTCACACAACTCATAATGAGGCAGGCATAACTAAAATGTTGTCAATTACCTGTATTCAATTTATGAAAGGCACAAATCCATCCCTTTCTATTGCCTTTGACAACCTATTTGCCTGCATTATCAAGCAAATATCATTTATCTGACAGCTAGTTGTGTTTTTTCATATTTATCATCAGAGTAAGCAAGCTTTGTTTACATAGCGCTCAAAGCAGAAAATGCAAAGTGGTTTAAAGATAGTGGAAAAGAGAAGGTATGTACACAACAAAAAGTAAATAGTATAAAATAATGCTTATCAATCTTTTTGAGTATATTCAGTAATTTTATCTCTGTCGTTTGAGCCAATAAAGACTAGGTTTGTGTTTACTGCAAGAACCGCAGCCATGAAACAGTATACGAGGAAAGCATTCTTATTATTGATGTACATGTGATTGTATGTGCATTGTAGATTTATGTGCAAACATGCACCCTTCATTAGTGGGTGCCAGTTCTCGCTTGGACCTTCAGCTTCGCTCTTCTTTGTATGTTCCTGCATGTCTGCTTCCCCTCACACCCTGATGCACCACCCACTTTAAAAATACATCACTTTAAATATACATGGTACGATATTTTCTCTGCGGGAAGGGTTGTTCCGTATGGTGCTGAGTTCAAAAACAGCTCATCAGTACACCTACCTGGAATTATAGAGGCATAGATCTAAATGACGCATGACCATGAGTCAAGCTTCTTGGAAAAGTAAATGTAAAAAAAAAAAAAAAGTGATTCAGACAATTAACAAGATTGGAACGTCCACACCTTGAAACCCTGAAGAAACCCTGAAGACTCGCACTGTAGCAACTGCCTTCTGGGCAATAAGTAGTGACAGTTGAATGACTGCACATACTGTAGGACTCAGGAAAGACTGGAGGGCCTAACCAAGAGGCACTGTATGCCAACTTCATTTGAGCTGAGTGCCTGTTGTGGGAAAGAATGATTATATAGGTTTGTGAGTACTTTCATTGAAACGTTGGGTTTGTTATATTTGCCTGAATGAAGTACCGGCAGTAAGCAAGAAATATACTATCAACATTTCTTTTTCAAATCATTTTATATATTCAAAACCTCGACTGTATAAAATATGGGAGAAGTGTCTGTGACGTCACCCATGAGTTTCAAAAGGTGGATTTACAATTTCCAGGTTCATTATGTGACGCCATGGGGCCTCCAACTTTGTATGCAGTTCTCTTAATACATCCAAGCTAAAAATGAGGAAAAAGAAGGACCATTAGTGCCTTGATATAATTTAAATGAATGAGTTGTATACAATTCACATCCAGTACAGTCGTTAACGGGGAAATAAGCTGCAGTGAATCAAAACCTTTTTTGTGTACCAGGCTGCAAACTTGATCATTTCTGCTGTAAAGTTGGGCATTTTAACATAAAGGTCTGTGGGGATGGACTCACTTTTGTAGCCAGCCTCAAGTGGCCAATTGAAGAACCACATTTTTTGCCACTTTCACTATACCTTCATTTCTTAGCACCAGAGGTTGCCGCTTAAATCTCGCTGCCATGCTGATGTTGTTCAATATCATCGCTGATAGAGGGATATTCAGATGTGCTTGTAATTTTCAAGAAGCGCTCCTACAGGACAGTGATCCCCAAATGTTTTTATTTTTCAAATATTTGAAGATAACTTGCAACAAGTAAGTTTGAAAACTAATTTTAACTCACAGATTACATTAAAGCTGCATTCAATTATTTGTAACCACTAGGTAACAGAGAGTTTCCAAAACAGTAAAGTTTAAACAGTTGAACTGAAAATCAAAACTTTAAAGCAGATAAACTTCCACAAAATTATTCCATTTTATGGACCTAATGAATAATTTCAAGAGTGATTTGTGCTGCAGTCTCCCACCAGAAATTATTTAGTTGCCCTTTTGTCTACTAACACATTTATCAGAGGAACATCACATTCTTTCTATCTACCTGCAGAATTTAATTCCATGATTCACTCGTCTCGTTTCTTTCACCAGCTGCTGATGAAACTATCTCTTTGTTTTGGCTTGCTAAATGTTCGACTCTCCTTGCCAGCCTTTTGTTTACTACAGATCTTTGCCATTTCATGCGAAGCAGGTAGCATACAGTCAGCTTTTGAGAGTTTTTTTTGCTGAAAATGGCAACCATATGGACTGTCAGACCAAAACAATGAGCTGAAGACTTCAAATAGCAGTAGGTTGGCTGCTGTGCCGTTACTGTATTCACACTACCCTGAGCACAGTGTAGTCCTCTGTTCTTCTTCCTATCAGAGATACAGTGCTTGGTGATAAACCCAGATATTGTCCATCCACATTTCAGGATACAACTAACAAGGAAAAAGTTTTAACATGACCAAATATAAGGCAGATGATTACGCCGATGTTTTCAGTGGAAATACAGCAGTTGATCAATCATCCCTTCCAAGCACTGGCCGGATCAGCGTCCTCATGGCAATAACTGCTGGTCTCTTCAGTCTGTTCTAAAGTACAGAAAAGTAAGAGGCAACGCTGCTTCCTCTGACGTCATCTTCTCCTGCAGGCCACAGTGCGAAGAGCATAATAGATGGTCGGATGTTGACAAGTAAAGATGTCAGGCCGATCTTTAAAGACTTGAATCATTGGATGGGAACACAGTTTTCAACTTGGGAATCAATTTATTTTGTTATGAAACATTTCCTTAGCTCTCCTCCCCCCCCCCCCCCCGGATATTCATGTTTGCCAATGCTAATAAGGCTCCCAAAATAAACATGCAAATGTAAGTTTAAGACCTACTTCCACACCAGAGCTGTGGCTTCTTATACACTAAATACCCCCCAAAAATGTACAATAACTCAAAGATCTTGTGGTAAGTGGGGGCACATATAGAATTGTCACTGTACCAATGTCAACTGTAGAAAGTACACCGATTTCTCAATGGAGGATTTTTAAACCAAGCCATTACTTCAGAGCCCTGTCACCCTCCCTAATATTTCTAAGTTTCATGAGGAGGAAATGTCAGTAAAATCAGAGAAGAAGATCAAACCAAATCATTCAGTGGATTTTATATGAAGATGCATAAATGTAATTTAAACAGTCTTTAGATTAAAGGTGCAAGATAAAATGAATATAAAGTAGTTGACCCACAATATTTCCTGTAAATGCACAGATTTATGTAAATACAATGTCATACAGTTAAAACGTTTATAATATTTAGCTCTATGGCTCTTATTGCCTCCATTGCCCCCAAATTCTTCATAACTAGTACAGCACGAGTCAAGTCATTGAAAAGCAATGCTACAGCAATGCAGTGTCCGTTTACTTCATATAACTCTAAAAATAAGGAACAAGTCTCATTTTGGTATATAAAGCAGCAGTTGCCACACAGCGCAAACCACGAAGAGCTAACCAAGGAGAGACTAAGATGATGACA